AGACTCAAGAGAAAACCGTCCTAAAGTTTTAACCAAATTGTCTACCCATTAAAAAGCCACAAATTTATAGTCGGGATATTCGACTATAGCGTTCCATTTTACTATGATGATACAGACTTCGAGTTAGAAAGTTTCGAGGTAATGACAGTTAAGCCTCATGTGCTGGCTTTCCCATTTAAGAAGTTTGTTAGTATGTCTTATTAACTGAGTTTATATGGTGATAAAGAGATAATCTTAGTACGCTATTTACTGCTTTATTTGATTGTACGAGATTTTGGGGAATACTATACTATTTTACCGTAGGTTTTAAGGATAAATGAACACAGAACCGATTTTCTTACCATGCTCCACTTGCCCTTGCGCAGCGGATCCGCGGTGGCCTTCAGCTGGCGGGCGAGCAGCCCCTGGAGACCCTCGTAGTAGATGCAGGCCGAGTCGTAGTTGCCCGTCAGAGCCATGTCCCGCGCTAATTTGGCATTCTCGCATATTTCTTCGATCGTAGTCTTGGCCATTACGGTCATTCCTACGCAAGTGGTTGTCTTTTGCTTGCCACCTCGCAGTAACTGGCGGTCGGAAGATTGGAAGATCGGAACAGGTTGTCGTCATTGTGGCCAAAAACGAGAGACAGAGATTAGTTCCACTTAAAGCGTTCGAGTGCGTGAGTTTCTCCAAGTGTTTCAGGTGGGAAGGGGAACAATAGAACGGAAGCGACTTCGTCACTCGCTCGCCTTGCAGGTAAAAAAGGAAAGTGAGCCCCAAGAACGAAAAAAGTTTGCAAATAATAGAAGATACCAGTGGCAACGACCCAAGTGCTCTGCTAATTATAAATTATAAGGCGCACAGCCGCCGAGTTGTCACCAAATTTAAACGCAATGCGCTCCCATTTTCAATTCCGCTTCCAAGGCGGGACGTGGGCCAAAATGCCGATTGGAAAATGTATTAAATTATTATGAGCCAAATAAGGAGATCGACCTTGTTGGCTTTGAATAATTCTTTCAACTCGAATCGTCGTATGCAAAAAACAAAAAAATAAATAAAACAACAACAAAGTTAACGCTCGCACACACGCACACAGAGCTCAGGTTTCAGCGGCACGCACACACACACATACAGAACACTGGCGCACAATGGTGCAAATTAATGCGATTTAAATAGATTTTGAGTTAATTGCAAGCCTTTGGAGACTGAAACTGCACTTTGCATTCGGCACTCGACCACATTTTCGTTTCTTTTCATTATTTCCAGCTACGTGGGGGCGTCTGCAGCTGCAGTCACAACGCTGACGTCTCGCAGCCGCAGCTACTGCGGCAATTGCGCGAATCGCACGGAGGGCGACTTACGGTTATGGACATTAGTGTACTAGCTTTGTTACGCGGCGTTCCAAGCGCAAAATGAATGCGAAACTTATTTAGTTTTGAGTTAAAGGCGCTGCGGTAGCTAAAATAAACTGCTGCGCTGCTGTGTTTGTAATACTAGTGATGTGCGGGGGCTGGTGGTGAGCGGCTCTTCGAAATATCGGCCCGGCCACTTGGTCACCCTGTTGCGTTTGGTGGGTGCAACAGTCGGCGGCTATCGATACTTTCCAGGGGTACATACTCGTACAGAATAAGTATTTAGGGTATTCCTGAAACGTTGAATTTCTCTAAGCTGTTCCATTCAACCAATGAAAAATAAGATTAACGAGAATATTATTAGGTTGTCCTAGCTTACTAATCATTTTTGACATTAACTAACAATAATAAATGGTAGTTTCACGTTTCTCTCCCCCAACGAGGGAGTTGCAGCTCAACAGTTTGAGGAACCCCAATATGCCATTGACCAATATATGTATTTTTAATTCCATTCTCCCCCTTTGCAAGTAATATTAAAAAATAATAGTTTTATGATATTTTTTAATCAGAAATAAATTCAAAGCCGTTCTCCTCTGAGCTCAAAAATATTTCTGTACAGCTTGGAATAAATATTTTTCAGTTATATTTGGTTGCTTTCAAGTGATCTCAAGTGTCTCCGCAGATGTGAGTTTTGTGTGAAAGTCCTTGGGCAGTGGGAACACTTGAACGGTTTTTCTCCTGTATGCGATCGCAGGTGCGTCTCAAGTAATGATTTCCATACAAAAGACTGTGCGCAATAAATACATTTGAACGGTTGATTCCCTGTGTGCCTTCCGAAGTGGCGCTGAAGACTTGATTTCTTTGTAAAAGATTTAGGACAACAGGAGCAATAATGGCGCTTCTTAATTCTTTTACCCTCTTTGTTTCTAGTAACAGATTCAAATTTTTTGTCTTCGCCATAATCATCACGACCCTTTAAATCATCTTCCGTCACCTCGATCGTTCCATTACTATGTTTGTTTAAAAAAGTCAGGACTTCTTCGTCAAACTCTAAACTATCTTCTACAAGTGGCTTGTTATCCGGTCGGCAGTCTCCCTGCGTTTTTAAATGCCTTCGAAGATGCGAGCTTTGGGAAAAAGTCTTTGAGCAGTAGGAACACTTGAACGGCTTTTCTCCTGTATGGGCTCGCAGGTGTGTCTCAAGTGTTGATTTCCACATGAAGGACTGTGGGCAATATTTACATTTAAATGGTTGATCCCCTCTGTGGATGGCAAGGTGGTATTTAAGACTTGACTTCCTTAAAAACGTTTTAGGACAATAAGGGCATTTTCGCCGCCCATCAGGGCTTTTCTCTATGCTACTATTAGTAGCAGGCTCGCAATCTAAGTTAACGCCAAAGTCATCAACTCCTCGTAAATCATCTTTCATCACTTTGATCTCTAAAAAGGAAAGCTCATCATCGTCAAACACGTATTCTTCAAGTGGCTCGTTTATCACTTGGCATTGGTTTCTATGAGGTCCCTTGTTTCTTGGCAAAGCTTTTACTTTTCCTTCCTTGATTTGGCGGACGAACTGCTGAGTTTGTTTTGTGTTTGACTCGTCATTTTCACAGTTCGATACTTCGTTGAATTGATTCTCAAGAAAATTATCTTTAAAAGAATTTTGTACATGGTAGTTTGGATGTGCATGAGTCGTGTAAATGGCAATGGGAAACGGATCCCTTTTCTCAATGTTTTTGTTATTGCGCTCAGAAATCTTCATGGCAACATCATATTTTTTTATTCCTTTAAAAATCAATGTTTCGCTGCTCCCAGACAAATGCAGCACCTTCAAATCTGAAATCATATAACATTATTATCGGTCTTTTAATAAAAACTCCTTTCTTACGTCGTATCTGGGTAATATTCCAATCAACAAACCAAATATTTTTACAACAGATGTTCTTGTAATTTCCTTTAGAGATGTGTAAATGGCTGATATTTTCACCGCCGATAATATCGAAAAGACTTTAAAAGATAAGGGGTATTCTTTACATTTATTGAACGTGGTACCGTTTGGTTTCGTTCCACCACTTGCACACCATAAAATGGAACCGTTGGGATTTTTGACAAATGTGAAACTCGTGTTCCAACAGAGCACATCCACCATCCAATAAAAGCTGACTTAAAGAGCAGTTGCTCACTCAACATTAACGAATGGCGATTTCAACTCAACAAAACTGCCGTAAAATTGGTTTGTCCTAATCCTTTTGTGGAATAGTTAAAAAACATATCTGAACATTTATAACATATCCTATAACGAGTATGCATACATTGTGCTGGCTGGGAAAGAGCCTTACCTCCCATACCCCACAATCCGCTTTTACTACGCCTCTGTCTAGCCAATATTATTGTGGTAAATTTGTAAACAAAACCAAAATATCTGTTGTTTGGAACTTTATAGGAGAACATAGTACATTTTTAATTAATATTAGTTATTTTTAAGGAAGTGGAGACCATATTCTGAGTCTTTGCTGCAAACATTGATGTTTTCGTACGCAGAACAGCTTACATTTTGGCCCACTCATAGCAGCTTGTTTTTAAAAGCTTTTCCGCTCATAAAAAACTACAAATAATTCAACAAAAGCATAAAAACAAAATGTTTAACCATTATTTAATTTTTTTCCGCCATCGATTTCAAAAATGACAGACTAGTTTGCGTAGAAACTGACAGACGGACATGGCTCGATCGACTCATCTAGGGCTGCTGATCAAGAATATATATACTGTTTGGGTTCGGAACCGTCTCCTACACTGCGTTGCAAACTTCTGACTGAAATCATAATACCCTTTTCAAGGGTATAATAAGATATTACAAAAGATGTTTCTTGCTCTTTCCATTATTGCAAGCAATCTAGATAGACGATTATTTGTTGTTAATATTTACTTCGCACCGTAGATAAAGCAAAGTCCAATCATCCATGCAACCATTCTGCATATCTATGGTGTACCATAAAATGGATGTTTTCGTACGCGTTCTGCGTACATTACAGCTTGCATTTTGGCCCACTGATAGCGACCTGTTTGCAAATGCTTCTCCGCCCATAACAAACTACAAGTAGTTCCAACAATAGCCAACAAATAAATTTTTCTCCGCCATAGATTTCATTTGTGCTCGCTGTCATCGTTCCATTTTTCACAGTCAAGAGAAAGAATTCAGAGTTGCACCGAGAAAACTAACTATCGCATAAAAGAGCTCGTCAAAGTTCGTCAAAATTGGATGGCGGACTAACTGGAAAATTTTCGGAACAACAAAACCTAACGGACTATCCGTGTGAAGACCCTATAACTGGCAAATTTTCAGGGCAAAGCCTTACGGACCATCCGTTCAACGGGTGGTGGATGGAGCTCTGTGAGAAGACCCTATACATAACATAAATGCAAAATTAAAAATATTTTGTATTATATAATTAAAATATTAGTTAGGTATGTTATTAGTTGTCTAATTATTATTTTTGTACTTATTGTAAAAATTTGATTTTATGTAACTTATGTAACACACTAATAATACTTAAATTCCAAGTCTTAATTATCTAGGTACACTTCAACTCTGAGTGCAGAGCGTATCTGCAAGAAATAGCTAGATTCATAGCCAAGTTCTAAGCGGCAGCACTGGTCTGGTCTGGCAACGCTAAGATAGATAAGGACAGTACGGCAGTTCTTAACATTTCGGCTTAACGTGCTTAAACACATATTAAATTTAGACACCACGCAAGCGACGGCGCCCGAAATGACAACGCCCACGCGTGCCACCCTGGAGAAGGCTCTGAAGAGCGACCAGAAGCTCCTGAAGGCCGCCACCCAGATAGCCAAGGGCAGGTTCCCACCCGCATCTCCGACAGACCGAACCTTCTCACAGAGATTCCTTTGTTTTCTCCAGATTTGACCTCCAAGGCGTATGACATATCCACCCTGGCCGAGGAGTTGGGCTTCGCCCTGTCCTCGCCGGACACGGAGCAGCGGGTGGCCGGAACCAACCTGCTGTCCGCCGTGCTGGTCGCTCTGCCGCAGGATCTGCTCCGGGAGCGCCAGCTGGAGTTCCTCAGCACCTTCTACATGGACCGGCTGCGTGACCATCACAATGTGATGCCAGCCATCATCGACGGCATCGACGCCCTGGTCCACATGAAAGCTCTGCCGAGAGGACAGATTCCCCAAATCCTGCAGTCCTTCTTCGAGTACACCACCTGCCAGTCGCAGACGAGGAGCGACCGCACCAAGCTGTTTCACATCTTCCAGTACCTGACGACGAACTTTAAGGATGGTAAGCCTCGGTTTGGTTTTTGGAGAACGTGTTTTCTAGCCATCAACTTGTACAGAAGCGTTTTTCCATTTGCTTTGGTAGTTTCGAAGGAAGCTATAATTTGAATCAGATGTTTGTATCAAAGGCATATATTTCTGACATCTGTAAAGAATGTATTTATGTTCTTGAACATTTTCTTTGTCGGTCCGTCAGTTCAATTTACCCGCTCAGTTTAAAGCTTGGGTATTAAAATGTTCGTTTTTGCCTAACATTTGGGTGACAGAAGTTATTAGTACGGCTACAGATATAAAATGAAAAGTTTATATCTAGCGAAAATAGGATTAAAAAGTCACGAATTTTTCGAATGAGTAACAAAGTTATATATGTCCCCTAAAATATGTCTAGACGCTGTTACACTCAGCGCATTTAATATCATTTGAGAATAGTTTAAACAATTTGGGAAATTTAAAATTAAAAACAATGTACCTTTATATCTACCATTATAGAGCTCCAGAAGATGGCCGGTGATTTTGTCTACGGCCTGATCAATTCCATTGACGGCGAGCGTGACCCTCGCAACCTTGACATCATTTTCACCTTCATGCCCGAATTCTTGTCCACGTATCCGCTGCTGCATTTGGCCGAAGAGATGTTCGAGATCTTTGCTTGCTACTTTCCAATCGACTTTAATCCCAGCAAGCAGGATCCGGAGGCCATAACTCGCGATGAATTGGCCGTGAAGTTGACCAACTGTCTGGTGGCCAACAACGAATTCGCGGAGGGCACCGTAGTGCTGGCCATAGAAAAGCTGGAGAGTGAGCTGCTGGTGGCAAAACTGGACTCCATAGAATTGCTGGCAAGAAACATAGATTCAAAAACTTCAACCCTTAGTAATTGCTATTTTTGTTACAGCACCAAGCTGCCTTGAAATTCCCACCCTCCGTTTTGGAGCCGCACTTCGATCAGATTTGGCAGGCTCTGAAAGCAGAGACCTTTCCCGGAAACGACAACGAGGAGATCCTTAAGGCCTCGCTCAAGGCTTTGTCTGCGCTCCTAGAGAGGGCTTCCCACTTACCTGATATAAGCCACAGCTACCAGAGCTCTATCCTGGGCGTAATCCTGCCGCACCTCAGCGATGTCAATCAACGCCTCTTTCATCCTGCCACCGGGATCGCCTTGGTTTGTGTGGCGGGAGACGCGCCCTACGCAGCAGACAAGATCCTGAACAGCTTTCTGCTCAAGTTGCAGGCCACAGACGCAGGGCCTGAACAGCGGATCAAGATCTATTATATAGTTAGCCAGGTGTATAAACTGTGCGCATTGCGTGATTCCCTGCAGAAACTCGATACAACGATACGTGAGTCCCTGCAGGATGCTGTGATTGCCTCTTTAAGACTTATCGAACAGGATGATTTCGATGCCAAGCAGGAGGACTTGGAGCTGCAGAAGGCGGCACTTTCTGTGCTCAACGAAAGTGCTCCGGTGCTCAGCGAGAAACAGCGCGCCTTGGTCTACAAAGCGCTGGTTCAGCTCATTAGCCATCCGTCCATCGATCTGGATTTTACCGCACTTACGGTCAGTCTGGGAGCCCTGCAGCCGGTGGAAGTGCAGTCGAACTTCATCGACGTTTGCGTGCGAAACTTCGAAATCTTCTCCAACTTTGTAAAGCGGAAGATATACGCCAATCTGTTGCCCCTGCTGCCTCAAATGGCGTTTACTCAGCGCATTTTGGATTTGGTAATGACGCAGTCGTTCAAGGATACAACCGCAGAGCCCATTCGTTTGCTGGCTTTAGAAGCCTTGAACAAACTGCTCGTCCTGGAGGATCAGCGCTTCATCGTCGATTTGCAGCAAGAGTCCAACCTGCTTCACAAGCTCATCGAGTTGGGTCAACACACGGAGGGTCTGTCCCTGCAGTCACTTGAGCAGATTGCGGGCGCCCTAAGTCGCATCACCCAGCAACTTCCCCTCTCAGAACAGAGCGCAATAGTTAGCGAGTACCTTCCTCAACTCAATCTAAACCAGTCTGCGGACCTGTACATTACCAAGGGTTTGCTCGGCTACCTGCATAAAGACATCACACTGGATGACCACTTTGAGCGACTTCTGACCGACTTGACCCAGCTCTCTCTCAACACGGAAAACGAACAGTTGCGCGTGATCGCTCATCACCTACTTTGCAGTATGGTGAACAAGATGGAGAGCAATCCGGCCAACCTGAGTAAGGTTAAGAAGATCACAGACCAGCTGAAGGCGGCCATCAAGAAGAACGATGTGCGGGCCGTGGAGATCCTAGCCTGGGTTGCAAAGGGGCTAGTGGTCGCGGGATTCGATGAGGCTGCCGATATTGTTGGTGATGTAGGTACTAAAATATTTGTATTTTAACGTGAGTTATAAGACACATTCTCTTTTAGCTTTCTGATCTACTGAAGCATCCCAGTTTGAGCACTGCCGCAGCATTGGGATTCGATATCATTGCCGCCGAATACCCGGAACTGGATTTGCCAGTGGTTAAGTTCCTCTACAAGCAAAAGCTCTTCCACACAATCATGGGAAAGATGGGTAGCAAGCTGGCCAACTACTGTGTGCACCACTTGAAGGCGTTCGTTTACGTACTGAAAGCCACGCCACAGGCCGTCATCAAGCTAAACATTGAGCAGCTCGGTCCGTTGCTCTTCAAGAGCCTAGAGGAGCACAACGAGGCGCAGTCGCTGTGCATCGCACTGGGCATTTGTGAAAAGTTTGTGGCGCAGCAGGACGGATACTTCCAGGCGCACTTGGCCCACCTTATACCTAGCTGCCTGGAGCTATCAAAATATAAAGCTCAGCACACAATGGTAAGTTACTTTTAGGGTTTTCATTCTACTGGAAACCTATTCTTCGATTTATCAACCTTTAGCTTTCTTGACATATTATTTCTAAAGTTTGTTTTATTTCATTTGCTTTTGAAATACATTAGTTAAATAAGAATAACCTTAAAATATATTTTTTTCTTACAGCAAGTTCGCATTGCGGCACTGCAGCTGCTCTACGACATTACCAAGTATCCGACCTTCGTCCTGTTGCCCCACAAAGTGGATGTTACCCTGGCCCTTGCCGCCGCCTTAGATGATCCCAAGAGACTGGTGCGGAACACGGCGGTCAAGGCCAGGAATGCCTGGTACCTGGTCGGAGCAGCTAGTGGGAACTAGCCAAGGAACAATACCATTCTTGTTAATACTTTAAAGCCAATAAGCGAACGCACAAAATCTAGGATCTACATTCGTAATTGTGTAGTTGTTTTTATTAAGGTTTGTCGAAGAATGTCGGACGCGGATCGAAGGATCATAATATTAATCGAGATATTATATCCGTTTTTTATTATTTAATGCGATCTAACTATTTATTTTAATGTATACGTCGTGATTATTCGTGCACATGTACATTACAAAAATTGGTTTAAAAATGGAAGAGCAAAACATCAAATGAATTGTGGAAATCTATGTCACCTAGATTAAAAACTTTTTGATCGAAGGCAACAGTGCGTATGGGTGATAAACTTTGAAGCCAATTCGCAGACCCTAAAACGCATTTTTTTTCAAAAAATGATATTTGTTATACCTCAATGCACACCGTATAGACGGGTGAGAGCAGGTTCTTACAAATTTCCATACAAATTGAGAGGAAAGCATTCACACGTACTCGACTATCAGAAACCTGATATTCTGCTAACCAATTTGAAAATGAAATACCGTGCCGCTAACGAAATTGGTAAAATAGGTGCCGCTCAAGTCAACAGCGCCACCTAGCGGCCGGTAGAGGCATCATTGCATACAAGGCTTTATGAACGTAGTTACTCATAGCTTTGAAAATATTTTATAGGTGCTACCACTAATAGAATATTAATAGGTTCGAAAACGCTTCCTTCTGCTTCTTACACACTTTAAAACGGATACAATAGTAACTCTACGAGTAACGGGTATAAATACTAAGTTCTTGGAAGCAAAGTATCATTTTTGTTCCAATTGTTTGATACACTTCAGCGAATGGTAGATTTCCACTATATATTAAATCTAAAACAAGTGAGCAGGCTAAATTAGTTGTTTTTTGTATATTTAGGTATCCGATTAAATCAATTAGAGGTATCCCTAGATTACTTTTAGCTACTTTCAGATCTCGATGTTTAGTGTTCCTCAAGAACCAAACTGAGGGTTCTGTTCAGTAAGGGTGTTCGCACTGGGAACGGGCCATAAGTGCGCACTTCTGAGCCCGCTGCACCACCTCGGGACATCGACGGCGTCTCATAAAGCGGCAGTCTTGGAAGAAGCCTTCGTTCCTGGGAAAGCCGTGCGTGAAGTCCTGGAACGTCAGCAGACCCAGGCCCCAGATCTTGCCGCCACGAAACTCACCCTCATACTTCATTCCGTCGGCGCGCCAGAAGATTCCATTACCATGAAACCAACCCTGATGAAACTCGCCTTCGTATCTGTCTTGAAAAAAGATTAATTTGAATAACATTTGTGATTGTATTGTAACTGAGATGCAAACCAACAGAATCCATTGTGAAATTCAGCATTAAATCACTAGTATAATTTAAATATCATTCATTAACAACAACAATTTTATGATGTTAGGGGCCGTTTTCTCGTCCGTTTGTTATACCCGTTACTCGTAGAGTAAAAGGGTACATTGAATTCGTGCAAAAGTATGTAACAGCTAAAAGGAAGCGTTTCCGATCCCATAAAGTATATATATTCTTGATCAGGGTCACTAGCCGAGTCGATCTAGCCATGTCCGTTTGTCTGTCCGTATGAACGCTGAGATCTCGGAAACTACAAAAGCTAGAATGTTGAGATTTCCCACACATATTCTTGGGCTTCCTACGCAGCGCAAGTTTATTTCAGCCGAGCGCCACGCCCCCTCTAACGCCCACAATCGGCCACTAACGATTTTAAAATTTCTCTCTTGTTAAATTTGAAGTAGGGTTAAAGCCTTGAAATCATTGTTTTAACCCCACTTTAAATTTAACAAACGGACGAGGAAACGGATCTAAAAGTCTTTTCTGGAGGTTTGCATCCACTTGCATTATCGAAACTGACTTTGCGCCATCCGCGAACCAGAGACAGCCGACTCCTTGACTCAGTCCCTCCTGGAACTGGCCATCGTAGCGCGTTCCATCGGCAAACTGCAAGTGTCCAATGCCGTGCTTCTGGCCACGCTGGTTCCACTCGCCGATGTAGCGGCTGGCGTCCTCATACCGCCATCCTCCCACCTTCACCGCCCCGGCGCTGTACTGGCTCTGACCCTGTTGGTGGTGTCCATGCTGACCATGCTGACCCTGCTGGTGGTGCTGTTGCTGATGTTGGTTCTCGATCCGGGCCGTGGTTACGCCCACGCTGCTCACTGAGAGATGTGGATGGCACTGAATTAGGGGTCCGCATCCTTTTGTCCTGCGCCCACTTACTGTCATCATCGTAGTCGTCCATGGCCATAGCTCCGTTCACCGCCGCCGATGCGCTTCAAGCTGCTACTGAGCTCCGCTCTGCATCGGAAACCCACACTTTGTGTGGCTTCCGACGGGGCGACGGCCCTGGTCTAAATCTAATTAGCATACTGCAGTTCTGCACAGTGAGGTTGGGTTTAAAAATCAAAGCTAGATCACTAGACCTCGGATTTTGCATATTTGTCCATTTTTGGTTCGATTTTTACCAAAATTTCTAGTTGAGTGTCATATTTTTCAAATGTAATAAATTCGGATGCATATCGGAAATATGCTAAATATATGCATAAAATAAGCAAAATATATGCAAAATATATACAAAATATATGCGAACAACTAGAGGATCACATTTTTAATGTAGCCCTCTGGTATTCTAATAGGGTTTTCTTAAATTTGGAAAAAAATTAGATATCTCAGAAATGACGAAAAGGAACTAACAATTCTTTCGGTTAAATTAGGTTGGCTATGGAATAGTCAATCTTGAATATTTGAGTTTATTTTTTATTTTGCATATTTGGTGTTTTCGGAATTGATCTATCTTTATCCTATAAAAATATGCAAAATCCGAGGTCTATAGATCACCAAAAAATAAAAACCAAAAAACTATTCCATGGCATTAAGGCCGTTAAGCCGAAAAATTTGAAATGGGAAACACTTTCTCATATGTACTAGTATTATAAATATTTCCTGTGCTTTGGCCCACTGTTCCATGACCAACTGTTGCTGCGACCAAGGCTGGCATCGATTGAATGAATACCTGCCAAGTTTTAATTCTTGTACAATTTATTGTTATTTCAATTTAAAGCAGAATATGTGGATGCAGGCTTTTCGTGAGATTACAGATGTCCAAAATGATTATACTGTTTATGCGAAGATCTAAAACTTGACGACTTCCTCATATCGTCGGTCGGAGAACATTGAAACGGAATTGTACATAAAGTTACTGGCTGAAATATTAACCTAGATATAGTCGTATGGGTGTATATAAGATGGACTCAAATCAAGTCTAGGCGAGCACAGCTGAAGTGGCCATCTCACTGACGCCGCAGGTGTTGTCGCCGCGATAAACGCGATAGTAGCCCTGCTCTCCCCAGCGCGGACCCCACGAGTTCTTCACGATCCAGTAGGGCAGGGTCTTGTGGAAGTTGGGGTAGTCGGAGACGCCATAGCCCACAATTAGCACACCGTGGTCGAGGTTCTTCTTGGAGCACAGAGCCTTCCAGGGATGCGAAACGCCGCCGCGATAGAACTGCATAGCGTTCGCATTAATGCCTGCAGAGAAAAATAGCTTAGAGTGGACTTGGGGGTTTCTTCTCTCACATTGCCTTACCAATCGAGATGGGTCCATTGGTGAGCAGCCATTCCTGCATGGCGGTCTCGTTGCCCTTGGGTAAATCCACAAAACCGGAAACCTGAACGTGGGACAGGGTCTTGTTGAAGTGGCACTGATTCTTCTTGGCCTTGTAGGGATACTCATCCTCGTACTCCAAGCCGCCAATATCCTTGATGGCTCTGTGAGAGGAATACCGATTAAATACCGGGATTAAATATTTCTTCATTCCCACGACACTTACTTGTAGGCATTGTCCATGAGGCCTCCGTTGCAGGCACTGTCCGTGGTATCACAGTCGAGCAGCTCCTGCTCTGAGAACTCCTTGAGATCGCCGGTTTTCACGGCATACAGGCCTTCGATGTTGCCCGTCACACTGAAAGCCCAGCACGAGCCGCACGATGCCTGATTCTTCACCGGTGTGACTGCGTTCTTGTGCCTCCAGTCGAACTCCTTGGGCAGCTCACCGGAGTACGCCGGTACCGCAGCCGCAGATCCGCCGGTGGGTTTCGCCTCATCACGCTGCCACAGTCCAGTGCGTTCCTTGTACTCCGAACTGGTCATGTCAGCAAACTCCGTGATCCCGTACTTCGCACTGCCCATCTCGTTGGCGTTCAGCTCCTCGATGGTCTTCAGGTTCTGGCGGAAGATTCGCAGGCGCATCTGCCGTTCGGCAGTGCTCACGTAGCGGCGGCCAAATCGCACCTGAAATTTGTGGAACAAGTGATCCACCTTGTCCAGGGCGCGGTGACTGTGCTTCTTGTGCGTCTTCTTCTCAGCCCACTCCGTGGATCTGCTGTGACGGGCCTGAACTACGGGCTGGTTGCGGCACTTGAAGGTGATTTCGTGTCCGTCCTTCCTCACCCAGGCCTTCGTCCAGATCTCAACGATACAGCGGTGCTGTGAGTCCGACCCATCGATTAGATCCGCGTCGATGCGGGTCAAAACGCCGGAATCCACCTGCCGCGAAGCTGAGAAAACTTTCCCGATTCTGAAAAAGAGAACATACAATTTTAGTCCTGTGTATAAAACTAATCTAGCACAAGTACTTCAAAATATGTGTTTTATAATATAATAAATAAATATAAATATAATAAATATTTATAGATACAATCATTAAATTAAAATGTCTACGTGGGCTTACTTGTAATGTGGGCCTTCTCCAGCGGTAAGTTTGTCAAGAGACTCTTGCAATTGGGCCTTTGCCGCCTCCTCGTCGTAAGGCTTATGCTCACCCACGATCTTATTTAGGCTGCGTCTGCTGCGAAAGACCTGGAATAAATGTTATACATTTATAATAAAGCGGTATTTTTAGAATTACCTTACACTTATCCACATCTTATTTTGCTGTGTACCAAAATTAACTTACTACACTTTCTGTAAGAGGCCACTGTGTTACCTTAACCATTCTTTTTATTTATACCTGTTACTCGTAGAGTAAGTATTCGTTAGAAAGTATATAACAGGTAAAAGAAAGATTTTCCGACCCAATAAAGTAGGATCAGGATCAATGTATGCCGAGACCTCGGAACTATAACAGTTACTAAGTTGGCACATAAAATGTAAAGTTTTCAATCTACAATGTTTATATTTGTTTTTATTTTAAGGTACTATACTATTGACGGGACAAGGCTTTTTTTTAATCAGAAATACCCGCCTCTAGTAAACGAAATAAATAAAGATAGTTTCTTAGAATTTTGGGAAACTTTACAATGATTTAGACACAAGTATTGTTTAATTTTAAATTCGCAAAAATGTGGTGATGAACTCTGACTATTTTCCAAACTGAATCATTTACATAAACAAAGTTTAACAGGTTGACAGGAGACCATTTTTTGTATTAAAATATTTATTGAGTTTCCGTTGTCCGTCCAGGTTACGATTGCGACGATTATGTGGTTGAGACCAAAATTTGGATAAGTGGTTTCCGTGGAAGGGCCCTCTACCACGCTACACTTTTGAACTCCAAAACCGCGAACAGCGAATTACTCCAAGAAGCGAAACTAACAAACTCAAGGCACACGCTAAAGAGCGGAACCAGATAGAAGATCGGGAGTTACGGATCAAGAATTAGAGGCCGCATTCGAAGGGCAGAACGTAGTCGTCGAGCATGCGCACACGGCGGAGTCTCCCTTGCGAGTCGACGCCCACCTCGCCACCACTGGCCGCCACCTGCTGCTCGACCTTGACTTCCTCCTCCTCCTCTCTCAAGTCCACCTGATGACGCTGCACCACCAACATGCCAGCGGCAATGGCCGCCTCCTGGCGCAACCATCCGGACATGATCCAGATACGGCGGATGCAGGTCGTCAGTGCAAATTGCTTCATCGTGAAAAGAATCTCTGCAAAAGCGTCTCTATCAATTTATGAAACTTTTTGGGAAAGGGATTACCTTAACCTTAAAAAAATATTAGAAAAGTATTTGATATATAGAGGGTTCAGTTCGAGTATACCGAGTGATGTCAACTGAAATTTGGATTTGGACCCAAACGATAATGACAGTTTCGATCCAGCCCTACTTGGACCTTGAAATTTTAATACAAATTTTGTATTATATTTATTTTTTAATATTTCGGTGATGCTAAAGGACTTTTTAACCGATTTTTGTGTTTTCATGTGATTTATTAGTCAAACTGATTCGAACTAACAAGCAAACCACGTTTTTTTTTAAATTTATAAGGGTTTAATGACAATTTGCATTCATTTTTAATGGAAAATAGATAAAATCTCTTCACATTTATGCAATAATGTCTACAAGTCAAAGAACGACACTTTTGGGAAGGACCTGAAGCATTATTTAACTAAATGTTATTGTGTTTCAGAATTTAAGCAAAGAATTAGAGGTTAATAATAAAAGGAGTTACTAATTTCCTTCCGTTTCAAGTTAAGCAGATGAGCACAGATCTCTCGAAACTTATACAATATCCCTTACAAAAAGCATCCCAGCATGGCAAAAGTCAAACCAAATCAGCCCTTTGTTTGCCGTCTGAGAGTTCGTTAATCTTGTGCTAATTACGCAACACGGAAACACTTATCCATTACAAACAGACACGCAGCTGTCACCACATCAGAACTCCGACCCGCCAACCCTAAAAAGAGTCGAGATACGAGGGGATTTCTGCGGGACTGGCACATAAATTACATACGAATGCAAATGAAACAAGGACATGTCTGAATTTACATTACCGAAATTGACAGAACGACACAAACGTACTAGTACACGTGGCTAGAAGAGTTGCGGCAAGAAACACGGAGGCCCAAAGGCATCCCATCCCCTCGCCAGTTGTGGAATAGGCCAACAATAACAACGACAGACACATGCGGCCCATAAACCATTCAATGCCGAACACAAAACCAATTAAACCAAACATTTTGGCTGGATATTCGTTTGCCGGCTGGCATCGATGATGGTGATATGTTGATGCCGTTGATGGGAGTTGGTTTCTGAGGATCCGGCGCCGCAGCCACATCCACAGCCAGGAGCCAAATGTCTGCTCCTGCTGACGCAGCCAGCCAACGGACATGGCGAATGCGAATGAGGACTGCAGGTGGAGTCACACTCAAAACATTTTATGTCCTACAAAGGTTACAATTGAAATGTAGATATGTGAACTCAAATATTGGGAAATAAAGTGCGAAATCTTTGTTCTATAATTTTATATTCCGGATTGAAGGCGTGGATTGGAAATATTTATCTAAGAAAAACAAAGGAGTATGCAATTTGTATCGTATTTTACGAATAGAAGTTTTTCCAATTTTGAGACATGACCGAATAGAATCTAATATAATTTAGTGAGCTAAGTCAGAATCTATTCATTAAAATTTTTTGGAGGAGAGACTTCTATAAACTGTTTTTTTCTAGTGCAGGTCATCTAGCTGCGACAACAATACCGAATGGAATGTAATGGCTACGACGTGTGTATAATTAAAAATACAGGAACACAAAAAGAAAGAACAGCCGAGCCGTGTTCCAATGGGAGTCCCAGGCCGTCCTCTTCGATGTGTGCAGCCTGAGTCCGAACATGAATTCATTAAGCCGCCTGCCCTGCAATTCTGTTTCCAGCCTCCTATACAACCCGACCCAAACCAACCCAACACCGGAACGGGAACTGTTAATTCAAACGTGTATTTCAATAAGAATTATAACGTAAATGATGTTTCAACGACCCTGGGGCCACAGTGGGTGTGGGAATAAAGTGGATGGCTTCTCTGGGTGGCAAGTGTGATGGGCCGTGTGTGCAATGGTCCGTGAAATCCATTTGGATATACTGACAGTCAAGTGCCGAACGCGGCTCTATGCCTTCTGACAGTTGGCGTAAATCAGCAGTGCAACTGAATGGTTCTCATTTTCAAAGCACTTAATTAATTTATTCCGCGATGATTTTTCCAAGAGCTCATTAGGCACTCATATGGGTTGGAAATAATGTTGGAAAGAGATATCCGATTGTTGAAAACGTCAAACACAGATTGAAGCGAATTATTGCCATTAAAATGTAATTTATTCCCTCGTTGGTGTGTGGATTTAAGCTCAGTAATTAATAGTTTTATTAATTAAAAGTGGAGAGGTCGTGTTGTACTCTGGTATGTAATGGTATATAAAAAACCGCGAATATCTGTGGTTTTTAGCGTCTTCAGAAGATTCTAACAAATATAGTTGATATGAAATATTTAGTTTTAAAGATCTCAGAAAGCGGATATTGTTTAAACATTTCTTTGTGCCAATTGTGTCCCTTATCAAAAGAGTGGAATTTAAAATAGCTTAAATAGCTTCCAGACAACGCAATTTCTAAAGAAGCGTTCCTGCCATTAAAATTGCAGATTCTGTCATTGATTATTTAACCCCTTATGCCCTCTTTAGGTTAAGTCGGGTGGAAAGTGCCCACCCCCGTAGACAAATCGCCTTCGACCCACTGTGCGTGGCCCCACAGAGTCAACCGCTGTAAAAAGTAGAGCACGAGGATAATGAGAACACTTGCCTCGCACTCTGTGTGCTGCTGCTTCTGTCGACACCGTGGGCACCGCATGGTCATGAGAGGAGGACACCCCACCCACTTAACCCCACATACATAGCGGCACTTGGGATCCCCCTCAAGACTTATAGACAGGCGCAGATGGCCCCTCCCCAGGTGCTACGAATGCGGCTAAGATAGGGCCCGGGTTAAACAGATTGCGGCCGTAATTTGAGAGCGGAAACTCATTTGATTATTAAGGTGAAATAAGTGTTTTGAGGGGGTGCTGGAACGAGAAATCCCGACGAACCCACCCCATCAACACCCCGTCTTTCATCGGCATCAGGTGAAAAGGCAAGCTTAAATAAATTCAATTAAATAACATTTTCCTTTTTATTGTTCGCATTAAGGAGAGTACGTATAAGAGTATTTATGTGTAAAAGACAGAGACTGTGAGGGATGGGGGTGGTTGGTTGGGTGTGTGGGTGAGTGTGTTTGGGATGATAATGAGAATATTCATGATGATGCTGTCGGTATGGTAGTAGCCTCCACCTCAGGGTCCTTCTGCTCCTGAGCGGTCTCCTCCTGCTGCTGCTCCTTCTGCTGGTTCTTTTCGAAATTATACGCACCCACCGATAGGAAATCGTCGAGCCAACGTTTCTCATTATCGTTCAGCTCCGTGGCGGCTGTGGTGGAGGCAACGCCCTCCTCATCGGGCTTGTCCTCCACCTGGTCCGCCTTTTTTTCCGCCTCATCAATGCTAATTGCCGTGGCGGCCTCATTAGTGGCTTCAGGTGGACCAAGCTCGGTGACTGTGATTGAAGCGGTTATGGCCACAGGAGCAGGCGCAGCAGGAGGGGACGCGGCAGCAGGAGCGGATTTGGTCAGGCTGACCTTCCGCTTCATAGGTCCCAGGTTAGTCAGTATCTGAGACTCCAGATGGGCCATCTCGGCGTCGCTCAGCTCGTTCCTTTGACCGCCATTGAAGATGCTATTACTCACGTATTTCTCGTTGAGCAGCCGCGCCTTCTCCGCCGGATCTCCGGACACCGAGTTCTCCGCCGAGTCGGTGCAATTGGAGGTGACCAGCTCGCGGTGTTTGTCGCCCCATTGGGTGCGCAGCCAGGGCTTCTCCAGGATGACCAGCCGGCAGATGGTGTCCGCCTCAGCCGGCTGCTTGGCCTTCGTGTCCAACGCGTTTAACAGGATCTCATAGCGCACTCCGGCCGTGATCTCCCGAAAGGCGTCGATGATATTCACAAAGTTCATCGACAGGGGCAGGAAGGTCATGGCTATGTTCTGAACCCCAATTAGATTGGGTGACAGATACTCCCGCTCGCCAGGATTCAACACGTGGACCAGCTTGATCGGCGGCTCACTCTCTGCCTGATCCGTGGTCGTTTCTGCAGTTTCCGTGCTCTATTGATTCGGGTTTCGGGGATTTTAAGGTTTGGGGATGGGTGTTTTGTGGGAAAAGACGAAACAAAAAGCAAAACACATATGAGGATACACACAAAAAAATTTCCGTTGGAATTGTGGCAACATAGGTGATCAGAATGCAGGGTTGGGTTAGCGTTCAAATGGGAGTGAATGATGTTTCAATGGAGCAAGCCAAGCCGTGTGGGTATTGTGTGATTAAGCGATACGGTGCCATTGACAACTTAAAGCCCGTTAATCCCACAAATGTTTTTTGCCAGTGTTATTATTTTATGTTTTCCGGATTATTTAACCAATTAACAACAGTCAAACATTAGTTATCCAAACAAATGCCAGGCACACAGGAAAACAAAAATGTTTTTGTTCATTAAAAAGCTGTAATTTTACCCGTATGATCTGTAATGTCCATAAGTTTGATTTTATTGAGTTAGTTTAGAAATTATGCTTTTAATTTAAATTTTTTATTTAATTTTAAAACAATCAGAGTTATTTGATACGAGATATTTCTAAATTACCAGTCATCCATTATAAAGACCTATCTGAATTACAGTTTTTAATAAATCAACGAATTTCTACTCTATAATTATGCTATTATTAAGGCCTCTTAATATTGGTAAATAGAATGCTCCATTAAATGATTTAAAATTCCTGCAACGCACTTTGAATGGGGTAGGCAAGCATAAGTGGGTGTGAGGTGTAATCCATGACACCAGCGAGCGTGCGCGAAAATCCCCATAATTTCAAATTCAGCAAAGCTTTACGGCACAGGGGCTTAGGGTTAATTATAAATGAATGCATTGCAAGGCAAAATGTCCGTCCCTCAAAGGCCGAGTTAATCGTTGACCCGCCCCTTTCCACCTGCTCGACCGACCGGGCCTAAAGCCTAATGAACTCTGCATAATTGCAACTGCAATTGCGGTCAAACTGCGGCATCGGATCGGGACATCAGATGACCAATCAAGTCAATCACTGGCCAACGCTTGACTGGGCCTTTCAGGCCACAAAAACTAATTAACCGCCGTAACGAAACTGAAACGAAACGATGCGAACCACACCGAACCAACCGGTTGTGGAGCAATGCAGCAAAATCCATCGATAAGTGATGAGACACAAATGCAAAAAGCCGATGACAGACAGTCAGTGGGACAAGAGATGGATCGACGGACGACCGCAGACAGATTTTGCTGAATAATTTAAAAAATCGGAATCACAAAAAGGCAGCCAACTAGCCTCAAATTCAGCCAGTATTGCTTCTGGTAGAGCACTTGGAAAAATCGAGTATTTTTTACTACCGAATGTAAGAAATTTGTTGATGTAAGTATAAAGACTAAAGATGTGTCAAACACATTACAGATCATCAAAATTAAATTAAAGTACATTATCGACTTTGTGACACTTTTCAAAATTGTTGTATCCTTTTAGGAATATTAAATTAAATCTACATCGGCAAGACGAAGTTTTTCTACTCTGAAGACTTCGCGAATGAAAATGTTACTATAATAGCATAAATATAAAATATGAAAAAAATACCAACTAAATATATGAAAAAATCTTGAATAGAAAAATTTTTTTGCTTTTGTGAGATATCAGATCGAAACGTGCTTTAGCCCTGACCAAGGTAGGTCAAGGCTAAAAAAATAAGATTTGAAAAGATTCATGTCAATAGATTTTAAACTAAAAAACATTTTGACCCATTTCACCCTATTGTTCCTATCGATACCTTACGTTGATCACGGTATGCATAAAAAATAAGATTTGGAATGATTCATTCTCAAAGCTATAGGATATAGACGTCCGATCGAGGCGCTTTTCAAGTTTGATCTGCGGACTTATAATTTAGGACGACTGTGGAAGTTTCAGATCCCTAGCTTTTAAACGGAATGGTACCTAACACGTTAAGTTTCCAGATGCAAACTGTGTAATTCCAGCTTTAAGTTGCTTGGGAATACAGTTTCAGATAAATCTAAAAAGAGGTTGCAAAACTCCACATTTTCCAGAGTGTATTACTGCTATTGCTGCTGATGCATTGCAGTTGACAGGCGACAGCAGCTGGCAGAAGATGGGTATAGGGTCGTCGGGTAGTTTGGGGGAATGGAATACTTGGCGTCTTGTTGACGTTTTGGTCGTTCATCCTCATTGCCGCTGACGTCGTGACAAAAAGCCGAAAAATGCATAAAAACTTTTGACAGCGGTTGCGTCACTGCAGGCGACGTTGATGCTCGCCTGATGCTCAAGCTGATTATGTTGAGTGGGTGGTTCGAGGGTTTGGGTAACGAGGGAGTGACGGAGCGACGGAGATGCCGGAGCTTGTTTTTCAATTAAACTTTATGGCATTTTAAACAACATCGCAAGCCATACCAAAACACGATGATGGGTTTTTAAGTTCTTCGCAACGCCCACTTGGTAAGTTCGCTCTGGTTGTTGTCCTGGCAACTCCTTGGCAAAAGAGCAACCAATTTATGCAATACTCAGTCGGTCTTAAGCCTGTTGCCATCTTTTAATTCACTCGTCTGCACTGAGCGCATCGAGAGATTTGTAGTAATTTATACTGCAACTCGCTATTTTGGAGAACTTTTAGAATATCAGACCATGTTCAAACTTGTTACAAAATATTACGTTTCTTGCGGAATTTCGTAAAGGATTTACTTTTATAAATAATGCAGGGGTAGTCTTAAACCTTTCTTAGACCCGATTTCTTATCTTCAAGGTAAACCAAAAGTGGACCGTAGATTGAACCAATTAATAGAATTTTGCAGAGAACCTTACAAAAAAACGTTGCATTCCGTTTTATCACGTAATTTAAGGTAGGACATATAAAATATTAAAAAAAAATTCAAATTTACCTTTGGCGCAGATTTATTTCAATTTATTTAAATGAAAAAGTATGCTGTATTATGCAAAACAAACACAAATAATCTGCAGTAAATCGTTGAAAACAAATGTAGCAATAAATTTAAAATATACAATATTGGCAAAAAAAAAATAAAGTTGCTTAATTCAACTCCCTCCATGAACTGCATGTCTACTTAATGTGTGTATTTTAGCGTGCGTATTTTCCGGCACACTTGCCATCAATCAGCCAATTCAATTGCCTGATCTGTGCAAACACAATGCGCCATCACCATAAGCTTCTGTTGCAGTCAGTGGCTTACTGAACTCGCGTGTAAACACAAAATCTGCCAGTGTAAACGGTTCGGGGGAAATATTAAACGCAAAGCTTTCGAAAAGTGTTGGGTGTTGCGCATTAAGCCGCTCTGATGGCAGTGTTGAAAAACTTTAATTGAATCATCGCAAACATCACCGAGCAAACGTTGCGTCGCAGTCGCTGCAAATTGGCAATTTGGCTTGTGTTGTTTTTAATTAAAGTTTAATTAAAGCGATTGGCCTGCTCGGCGTGCAAATAAATGCATCGCCGACATCATCATCGCGGCGTCATTCTGTCATTGGTGACTTAATTTTTTCCACGCAGCCCATTAACATTTTGAAATCCACTTACGCACGACCGGCTCTGTGAATCCCAAGCTCCCATCCGCACCCCACCTATCCACCAATGGTCGAGAAACCGGTATAGTATTCAAACTGTCAGGGGTTCGTTTGCTGAATCCGAATCTGAGTCGGAATCTGAGTATCTGCGTTGTGCAACATACTTGTGCCCAAGGTGAAGATGCCGCACTTTTGGGCTTTGATGAGGTGCGCACGTTTTGGGCGTGTTTTAGTGTTAATAAAGACATTAACCTTGGCAGGGGGCTTTCTTTAGACACCTGCTGTGCTCGCTGAATCTCATTCAAACCAACTTTTGGGTTAGCACATTTACATAAAGCAGTGGAAAGATGCGATTTTTTAATAAAATCTAGTTCATTTTCCTTTTATGCTGGATGAATACACATTAAGTAAAGTTAAACAATAAAAGTACATTTTCACATGTTATTTATAAATTGCATTTGATATATCTCAGTTGATAAACATGATGAATAGCCCTTAAATCCAATATATCTTTATAGCTTTGATTAAATTTACCTGAAGGCTTATAGTACATGTTCATAAATCATAATTTCTATTATAATTTATAATAATTCCGAAAATTGAGCAACCAGTCACATTGCGTGTAAGCTGGTTTTCATCCATCTCATCCTCTTCTGAAATTGATTTATTCTTCCTCGACATCAACATTTGCGGGATTCAATTGTGTCTTCACAATGCTAACCACATTCGAGCGTGTAGTTTATGTGCTGATTTCGGGAATTCCATATCTTGCACCAACTAATAACCGATGTTGAAATTTTAAATTCCGACCACGCTTCACGCAAGCGTCTTTGGAATGATATTGGCTTTGTTCGGGGCTATCTGGCATCAGGACACCTGCAGATTCGGTACCAGCCCATCCGCCCCCTATTGGCATGCTGGCATGGCAACCCCACCCACAGTCAATAGATAGTCTCCTGACCTCCGACCCCCCACCACTCATAGTTTTAAGCTTATGCATTAATCCGAGGCGCCCCTCCCCGACGCAATTGCACAGTGTTGGCAGAAGTTGAGAGCTAAAACAGCTAGATAACTCTAGTTAATAAAGCGGCCAAAATAATATCTTCTTAATTCAACGAATCAATCTAGTTTTGAATGTATAACCATGTAGGGACAATGGGAGGGCGTCAAAACAAGTTATAAGAATTTTGTGCGTCTATATAAACTAGATAAGTTTTAGGTCCCAAATAAGTGTAAGCATACGAAAACAAGAATTTATATACTGGCAATCTAACAGTTTGCAATGACTAACAGTTCTTCTAACAGTTATGCCATAGAAACCCGCATAAATAAATTCAGTAAAATCATATCACTTCGTTAATATAGCGCAAGCTTGTTTAATGTTTTTATGTTTAAGATCTTTCAACTGTATAGCCATTATTAAATCGACACCTTGAAAAAGCCCAAATTAAGCTCAAAATCTAAATTCAAATAATAAAAATAAAAATGTAGGTATCTAATTAAACACCTCAGACGAGCTAAAGGCCTTAGCTGCTAGAGCTCTTAATTCTTAGTTAGCTTATAGTTTTAACTTTAAGTTTGCTTTATATAAATAAATAAATATAGCCATTATTACAACACTCGGGATGCCTGCTTAAATTTCCAATCAGACAATGGAGACACACACGCACACATGCCGCACTCCCTGGCATTTACCCACAGATTGGCCCCCTTTTGGCCAAGCTCATTATAAACTTTGCCTTCACAGCTCCCCTGGGTGCTAATTTGCGCCCTCTGTGTCGAATGTGGGGTATTGGGATAGGGATGGGGCTTGGAGGTGGGACAGTGGATGGTGGGAGTGATTGGGTCTCGTTGTCTTGGGCTGGCCAAACCATTTAGTGGGTCCAATGCCGTAATTTCCTTTGGCATTTCTATTAGGCGGCAAATCATGCTCAAAATTATACAAAGGACGCCCAGACAAATGGCTGGATCGATGGATAGAGCCTTCGACGGGCGGAGTCAGCACTTCCAGGGGCTGATTTGCATAAAGCCAAAAGCCAGAAAGAAGATTCGCATTTGACAACCGCCGACAATTTGCTGGCAGAGACATCGATAGATTCGTCCATCGTGTTTTTTTGGCTTTGCCTTTGTTTTTGCGGTTTGTGAATCATCCGATTTGATTTCCTAAATGACAGACATAAACCCCTCCGACCACTCCAGGCCACTGACAGAGATTTGTGAGACAATAGTGGTTGATAAGTTGGCAGCCAGTTTTCTGCGATTCTTGCCGCTGACTTGACTGAATGAATATGTATGGTATAATATACTCGCATATTATACCCGTGTGTACCCATAAATATTTGCGCGAATGTGCTTGTTATGTGTGGCTATATCCGCGCATATAGTTCCGCAATAATATTCATTTATGCAAATTTTTCCATGCATTCTTTCTAGTCTCTGTGCGTGCGTTTCTGTGCTTCTTCCCCCTTTGTTTTTACCCCTTGATAGCATTATACTGGGGGTATATTAGAGTCCTGGAGAGAGGTAAGTAACATGTATAGATTGTGTAGTAAAAATGAGTTTCCTTAACAAATAAATAACACTGTGCAGCATTTTTAGTGCTTTTTAAATTTACCTCGATGTATGCTATATTTTTGGATTCGTTACGAATTCCCAAGTTAAACTGCGTTTTCCAAAAAGTTCCCCGACGCAAGGATTCTTAGCAAAAGGACCTCAAAGTTCGAAAAATTCAGAAATTGGCCAACTTTCTAAAGCTCTCAGAGGCAAACGGATTCATGGTTTGGTTAGATGCTAAAGTTTTATAAAAGATACACTCTTTATCTTTTAAACCCCATACTTACAAAATTTTTAAGATTTTTTTTAAGGCAGAAACAAGTTCTAGAAAACATAGTCAAAAAACATAAAAGTATACAGCTGCGGTCAAAATGGTAGTAGTGTTGCCGCCCTGTGTATTTAAAAGTTTGTTGTTGTAATTGATCTTTTCCTGGTAATATTGTATTGATTATAATTTTCCTATTAGACTAATTGGATAAGAAAAAATTACAACATCAAACTTTTAAAAACACAAGGCGGCAACACTGCTACTATTTTGACCGCAGCTGTATGTTTTTCAGTTTTTTGACTATGTTTTTTGAAATTTATTTCTGCCTTAAAAAAAATCCTAAAATTATTTTATGTATGTGGTTTGAAAGATAAAGGGTGTATCTTTTTAAAAACTTTAACTTCAAACCAAGCCATGCATCCATTTGCCTCTGAGAGCTCCGCAAAGTTGGCCAATTTCAGCATTTTTCGAACTTTGAGGTCCTTTTGCTAAGAATCCTTGCGTCGGGGAACTCTTTGGAAAACGCAGTTTAACTTGGGAATTCGTAACGAATCCAAAAATATAGCATTTATCGAGGTTAATTTTTGATGCTGCATAGTGTAATTATACCATTTGAAATAAAAATAGCGTTTCGATCAGCTATTAAATTGTGATTACTGTCAAACATATAAGTTGTGGTTCAGAAAAGGGTATTATACTGTCGACCCTAGCTATGTCAGCTTTTTAACTTTATTTATTTAAACTTATTTTTACTTCCATTGAGGCATGCGTCAAATTAAAATTCAACATTTGAAACGCGACGCGGTAAATAATTCAAGTGCGCGGACTTTTGCCCCCCGCCCATCCACATGGCGGTGGCTTTAACTCGTTGAACCCTTTTTACGTTATATTTAATTATTTGCATATACAAATATTTTTGTTTGCTGGAGTATGATGAATGCTGTGAGATTTTTTCTGGTTCTCGTTTTTGCCCTGCTGCCTGCCGGCAATTTAATTGATATTGATGACGCTGCTCCAAATGGCATCACCCCAAAGTCCATCCAGGTTTTCTCTGAGGGAAGAGGGGGCAACAGACGGTGCTCTCTCAGTCATTAATCTGGCACATTACTTTGTGGCAAAGGGGTGGAAGGGGTGGGCGCCTACTGGAGTACCACAAACAGAAAATTTAATTTATTTAAATTGAAATCTGTTCCCCTTCTGAATCATGGAACAGTTAATCACAATTTGAAATCTGTTCAGGTTCTCGCAGTGGTGTGCACATCAATTTTCGAAGATTTCTCGGAATTATTTATTTAAGTTGATATCATCAATTATAGCTAGCTTGCTGACAAATTTCGTCATATTTAGTACTCTTTTAACGGTCGCTTGACTTTGCGAAACGTTTGAAATATACATGTTTCCTTTTCAACCAATTGTAATTCGTAAATTAAAATTAAAACATAGATCGTTTCGATTTTTAAAACTTGTATGTAAGACCCATAAAACCGTACCATTCAAGATTTTTCTAAAGTAAGTAAAAAAAACCTCATAATATAATCTATTTATTTTGGGATTATCAAAGTAATAATAAATATGCAATTATGTATTTTGTATCACTATTTTATTTAATGTCTTTGTTGTAAAAAAGAAACAAATTTAGACCTGAGAAAAACATTTAAAACCAAAGCCAAATGTTTAAGTACTTATATTTCGTTTTTATTTTGTACAACCTGTATTGTCATTGTAATAATAAATGCAAACAAAAAACATTTCTGCCTACTGGCTGAGGTTGCTGACTAAATAAAAGTCTATTGTCTGTATGAGATACTCATCGCTTTCTAAATAAATTTGTTTACGTAAACAATTTGCTGTATGAAAAAGTGTGCATTAAGTGGGCAATTGCTTGCTGCTTTTTAACACTCTAAACACCGTCTTTAAAATAAGTGAGCACCCTTGCATTGCTAAAGCAATGTACATTAAAGTGTTAAAACAAGAGTAAGCTCGGGTCGAAGTTAATATTGGGGTTGAACGCTAGATAGGGATGAATTCACCCCGGAAGACGTATTTCTTTTCTTTAGCCTTATAAATTTTTATTGCCCAAATTGCTATCAAACGTTATTTTGAAAATAAACGATTTTTAAGGAAAAAATGAGGTACTCCTGGGGTTAATCCAACTTTGACGGATGCCTTGAAATTCTATTTTCAAATTTAAATTCCTGGTCCGTTTGGATGAAATTGCACTTGAAAGGCAGAAATTAAAACGCAATTTCAGGGCACAAAGCAATTTTAAACGGGCTAGTGGGGCCAATTAAAATACCCCGATAAGGAGCAGTTGAAAAAAAAACAGTAGTCTGGGAATCAATGGGGTTCTATCGGTCAAAGCGATAAGCAAACAGCTGACTCGTCGCAAAATAAACAAAGGCGTAGATAAGCGGATCCAGAGAAATAAACCACTAAATGGAAACTAGAAAAAATAGATGTCATCAAAGGCTTACAGAAGGAACAACAAATAAGCAATTTAATGTGATATGTAAAAATGCCAAATTTTTTTTTAATGGCATCTTAAATTAAGAATCTTGGGAATTATCCACTATATTGTGCACTTCCTCAAACTTCCGTAACTATAACTTCTTGAATGGTCGAACTACTACTGCAGGGGGGTTAAAAGCTCTTATGTATAATCAATACTATTACTCGCAGTCTTGATTTAGATGGGCATATCTCAGTTTGAGTTACGGAGGTTGGACTGTATGAAATATCTATTCGGGCTTCTTTTTTTCTGTGTACTTAAAGCTAGAGCAAACAACGGTCCATCAGCCAATATGGCGAGTGCGTGTAAGTATGGGTGTGTGTGTGTGTAGGAGGGCAGGTGTGTGTGGGGCAAGCGGGTGAGAGAGAGTTAACTGTAAAATTGCATATTTTCCGCTTAATGACGAACCGTTATCCCTGCCCCAAGCATAGTCACTTTGAAGGGGATTACGTTATTTTGTTGCCCTCGCAAAAGCGTTTTGATGTGGAAATAGACGCGCTGCTGAATCATAACAAAACAACACACGCACACTCACCTCCGCATCGCCCTGTTCCTGTCCCGCTCTCTCCTCCGCGAGTTCCTCGCCAGCTGCTTGGCCCAAAAGCAATACCAGCGCAACTGTTGCTGCCGCTAACAGCCTCATGTTTGTGGGTGTGTGTGGCCGAGGGGTTCTTAAATCTCCTCCAAAAAATTCGCCGATTTTCGATGTGTTCGGTTCACAATGACGTTTGCACAAATCACGCGCACAGGTGAGGAGGTCGAATGTTTCCACGTTCCGCTGGCGAAATACGCCGCTTTCTGTTTGCTGGGTCTTTGTTGTCAGCGTGCCAGAGGTGGAACCCCAGTCGATGGTGGCGCGGTGCAATCGATAGTTTAAGCATCGTCGTTTTCTATGCAGCCCTCAATTGTTTCACAGCTGTTTAAAATTTAAATTTCGTTTGGGGTATTTCCCTCAATTGCTGAAAGGGAGTAACTGAAACACGTCTTTAACTAACCGACCTAGTTTTAAAAACTTTTGATGAGGAAAGGTATATAAATCTTGAGGAAAATAATTATCAATTTTCAAATATCATAAAGCAATTGCTTACGGGTAACCTTTCTACATATGTATGTATATGATAATTAAATCAGATTTCTGAAGATTTACAAAATAATTTCAGAAATATAAATAAAAAACATTTGACATTTTGATTCATTTGCGTATAAGGAGTAACAAATTATTATTAAAACATATTATTATATTATATTATTAATTTTCTGAGCCTTTATTTCAAGGAAAGATCCGTCAGATTTTCGTTAAATTTAATTCAAAATTCTGAAATGTTAAAAAAAGATATCCCAGAGTAGAAGAGAATACGATTGGATTGATGCTGCAGTCGTAATAATAGTGGTGCCCCTGCTCTTCATCATTGAAGGTTGGTTGTTTTAACTTATTTTATCCAATTCTTGAATCCAACCTCCGATTTCGTTTAATTTTTCTAACACGTGGATGTTTTTAAGTTCTGATTACGGGAAAAATAGTAATAATCATATAACACCAGGATATAAACAATCCAAATATCAATCAAATCTGACTGAATTTGGTCATTCATCTTTTTAAATAGATCGACTCGGATATTGATTACCATTAAACTGTTCTTAGAAAGTGTATTTATTTTTTTGGAGCCCAAAAAGGGGTATTCTGAATCCTTGCGACTGCGCGGACGAAGTGCATCCGAAACCAGGACAGCTAATCGGTGCGTGACCTGGCGAATGGTGGGCCAAAACGGAAGTGCACAAAAACAAACAGTGGAGGGTAACCGCTGGCAACAATTCCAGGTTGTACTCGGTATTGATAAAGCGCGTTTGCAACAATTATCTATTTTCCAGCAGGCCAGACTTCCGCGTTTCGCAGCATGAGCTCGCACTATCTCAATTCCTGTGTGAAAGTGCCCATCGACCCGTGCAACAACTGTCCTGCTCCGGTCTACAATCGCCCCAAGCTCTGTTCCCTAGGTGGAAAGAAGCATCCGGATACAGCTCCTATTGCATCCCCGGAGGCGGAGACCCCTGCGTGGAGCAGCCAGATGGGTGTCAGGTCTTTAGCAAAATTCTACGACAGTATACCCGGTGAGTTTGGTTTAGGGAACTTGATATTATAAGGTAGTATTTAAAAATTATAATGCACTTACATTGGAGCCCTGCATGATTGGATTCATTGAATTATTTTGAATTTTTTGTTTTATTTAAATGAATTAATTAGAATTTTGAGTTTAATAGAATTGAATGAATTTGAATTTTGAGTTTAATAGAATTGAATGAATAAATGGCATGAATTCGGAAATAATTCAAAAGGCCATAATTTTGTGATTAAATCTGCCTGCATTAACATTGATTTGTTTTGAATTTTTCACTTTTTGTTCTCAAAAGACAGCACAAAAAAATCTGGCAAATCAAAAAATTCATAAAAATTATTCATTCAATTAGTTCGAAATTAATTGAAAAAACATTCAATTTATTTCACATAGAATTGAATTAAACAAATCAGAAATTTGATGGCATACTATGACAAAACAAAAATTGAATGATTCACGCAGGGCTCTAACTTCCTGTCTTCCTGTCTTCTTTAGACTACTGTGATGTGAAGCACCTCCACCAGGCGGAGTTCTACTCCACACTGGAGAGCCTACGAAGCACCAGCCGTGAACTGCGATCCCAGCCAGCTGCTGCACCAACTCAACGATGTGCTAGTGCTAGCAGCAGCTCTTTGGGCCATGGAAAGTCCAAAAAGCGTTCGTCCAAGGGGAAAAAGATTAAAAAGAGGCCTCTGGTGCTGGATCCTGTGCCTCCGCCGCCAATCGTAGTGATCCCCGAGCAGTCCGCGGGCCATACGCCCAATGCCAGTTGCCTTAGCGAGGAGTACGACAAGTGCCTTAGGGATCTGAGTCGCCTGAAGAGCTTCAAGGAAGACTTTGCCGTGGAGGTGGCCGACTTCAAGAGGTCCCTCAAAAGTTTCGAGGCGGAGTTTCGCAGGCCAAAGTCCACCAGCAGCAATGGGACTCAAACGCAGACGCACGACAAAAGTCAGACCCAAAACCGCTGCCAGCCGACTGCTAATCCTGGCCAGCACACTGCTGAACGGGCCAAATGCCGGAGGGAAATGCTGCGCAGGTGTTTCAGCGTCAATGATCTTCAAGGAACTAACTCAGCACCCAATTCGAGGCCTTCCAAGCTCCCTCAACCCTCGCTAAGCAACTATTTCCCACGCAGCAAAGATGAAGAGGTTCCCAAGATAGAGATACAATCGCCTACCACCTCCTCAAAGCGAAGTAGCAGTGCCTCCACCGCAGGAAGGGGACGAGGAAGACGCGCAAGGGGAAGGAAATCGAAGGCATTATCTGTTCAGAAAGAGGAGAAACCACTGCCACCGCTGAGCATCTTTGAGTTTCCAGATCAACCGGTCCAGCGGCGATCGCCGAGTGTGTCGCCTCTGCACCCGGTTTCGCGTCCAAATCTGGCGGCCACCTTGAGGGCTGAAGTTTCTAGGAAGAAAGTTAAGGAGCTGAAGAACAATTGCACCTATCATGATCCCCGCCCGCAATTCGACTGGGAGGTCCGAAAGACGCCTGCCTGGAAGTCGCTGTCCTTGAAGTATGACCTCTAATTAATCAGCCATAATTTCTTACAACACGATCGTTGTCTTTTCTTTCAGCGAATCCCACAAGGCTTTGTTATCCATCCGACTGGCCACCCGGAAGGCAGAGCAGGCTTTCCAAGAGCGTCAGTACGAACTGCATATGGAAATGATGCGTCAGAGGGTCAAGTCCGCTCCGCTTCTTCTCGAGGGACCCACCTTCTGGGGCCCGGAGGTGGGCAAGTTAACCCACACCTGCCGCAGCGAGGAAATGCGCCACTCCTGCGAGGGCAGCCGGCAGCGGAGGAAGAAGAAATCAGAGTGCCCTGCGCCGGATGCAGATACCAAGATGCAGCAGCTGCGCAAGATCTATGGGTCAGAGAAGTCCTGCTCGAGACAGTCGCAAAGGAGCAAGCGATCCGGAAGAAGGCCACAGGGTCTGGCCACCGAGACGCCCAGCCACGACAGCGGCGACGACCTGTGCAGCGTGGACCGAGCTTTCCTCTAGAGAATCACCTAATTTCCAAGCACCTAGTCACAATATATGTAAACTTTTTTGGATTGACCTAAGCCTGAGGTTTATTTGTCGGCAGTTTCAGGTTTTGAAGGGGTTTGAAGTCCGGAATCACCTCGTAGCTGAGTTTTTGATCATCTGTCAGGGCGGCGTTTCCAGGACGCTGAAGGATAATGGCTTGCAATCCAGCAGACCGAGCCGCAGCCGCTTCTAAAATATGATAAAATTGAGCAATTGTATGGCATTGACTGGTAAATCTCTTACCCCCTGGAATATCGGTGAGAAAGAGTATCTGGTGCGGATCCTCTTTCAATAACTTGGCAATAGTATCGTAAGATTGCTTCTCCTGCTTGTGACCCACATGGGTGTCAAAATGAGCACTGAGATGAGGCTGCAGGTTTCCAGCTGTACTGTACCCGAAGATCAGCTTCTGGGCAGCCACGCTGCCGCTGGAGTAGACTGCAATCTGGAGACCAGCATCACGCCAAGCCTGAAATGCCCCGGGGACATCTTCATACACACTAAACACAAAACCAATAAAATTAATGAGTAAAAACTAGAAATATTTTTTAAAGTATTCCTATCGATTGCAGTAAAGTAAACATTATCATTATCATAAGAACAATTTTAAAATTGTTATTAGTCAAATGTGGAACTATTGTAAGTTTAAGAAGCGATCGTCACTTGTTTTTCACCTCGTCAAGAGCTGTTTTTATTTTAAATCACTCAAAATTAAAGTTATATAGTTATTAGACATCTGCATGACTGGAATCAAACAGGCTTTGAAATGATTCCATTCGAATAGAATAGAGTTGAGTAAATGCTCAGCACACTATGACTAGAATGGATTTCATCTTGGTCCGTATAGAGTATGACAGAAAAGGCCTAGAGTTAAACGAGTGATAACGAAAAACAGAATGTCATATTTGAATAGGCTGAAATCATTCGAGTTATTCGAATCCACTCGATTTTCTTATATGACGTCATAAGGGCAAAATAGAAAATTAAATTTGTTTTGATATACATATATGTATGTCAATAAATAAGTATTTTTGTGATTTCTTATTTTCGAAATTACCAAGCTCCCCTTAGTTTAAACTCAAAACACATGCAAAAATCCACGAGAATTAAAAAAAATATGGAAAAAAAAATTAGTTTTATGAACATATCCCAGAACCAAAAGATCCGCCTCTATCGCCACAGATAAAGAAAGGAATGGTCTTCCTTGGACCGCGACTTCTTAGTATTGTCATCCTGGAGTTTGTTAGATAAATTCTTAAGAAGTTGCGGTCCAAGGAAGACCATTCCATTCTGCCTCTTCACTACACTATTTTGTACTTCTCCTCCTTGGTCCGCGAATTCTTAGGATTTGCGGTAGAAGGAAGACCATTCCTTTCTGCCTCTTCACTACACTATTTTATACTTCTCCTCCTTGGTCCGCGAATTCTTAGGATTTAAATATGAAAATGGCATGGTTGGATTCAGTGGCGAGCTAAAACTAAAGGTAGATTTGTAATTTAAAAAAAGACAAAAAACCAAATATTTATGTAAGTATTTCAAAACAAATTTAATTTTCCATTTTGCCCTTATGACGTCATGTAAGAAGTCGAATGGATTCGAATAAATTCGTCTGAGTTGTTCGTGTACTCATTTACTCGATTCGTTTTCCATCACCATTTCTGGTTCGACTGCGTTTTACGTCAGTACACTTATTTATTCAAGCCAGTTTCCCTACACATTCCAACTCATTCAACTCATTTTGAACATTGTCAATTCGAATATGTATTTTTTGTTATTCATGCAGATGTCTAATAGTTATATAGTTTAATAACCTGAACCTGTTTAATGCCCCGCAAATGGGGTTAATTTTGAAAGTATGTTGAAACTTACTGGCCCTTGAGCTCTCCACTGGCATAACCCTCTGCCCAAATTAGTCCCTGAAGCGTTTTCATCGGCGTAACCTTCAGATCTTGGTCGATTAGATAGCGCACAAAGCCGCTGATAAGTTCCACATCCACTTCCGCAGGAGCATCACTTAACAAGGCCCTGTATTCCGAAAACTCAGGCACTTGCTGCAGATCCTGGACAATCTGCTTGGTATTATCTCCTACCCAGGACTCCCTTAGGAACCTCTCCACGTTCGCCCTGGCGTAGGGAAACAGGACATCGTGCACGAAGCTGATGGAAGTGGTGGTGCCTTCAATGTCAACCAGCACCACTTTGGCCACACGTTCACTGGTCGTCATTGCTCTTATCAGTGGGATTAAGTTATCACGCGGAATCCGTTGTTCTCCAAGGGCTCAGCATCTGATGTGGTCTGATAGTGGAGATGACACTGCTAGTGACCGGCTATCGATTGGCAAAAGAAACAGGAGTTGGCTATAAATAGCTAAATTACTTTTAATTAAAATAAATAATTAATTAAATAATTAAAATAATAAAACTAAAAAACAATACAAAATAATGAGACGGAGTGTCAAAGAAATCTCTTTCAATGAATAAGGTAAAAAAATTTAACAATATGAAAGCAGAAGGAACAGCACAAGTTCCGAGTGTGTTACATTCCTACAAGAATTCTAAGAAAAAAGTCCCTTAAAGTACAGATTCTTCAAGATTTTTGACAAGTTAGATTACGAAGACCAATCTTTATATCTATATGTTTGCCTGTAATATTCGCCTGTAATTGAGCTTTCAATATTGCCAAAAAAATCACTTTTCCAAGCTAGACGTCCTCTTGAAGGCATATATAAATGACTCGTTAAACCGAATAAGGTCCCTGGACATTTATTGGCATGTAAAGTTATTTCTTTTCAATTAATATTTGTGATTCGGCCGAATGCTTGACGGAAAGATTCCATGATATTTTTTCGGAAATTAATCTACAACAGTTGTGTGCAATTCAAAATTCCGTTCAGACGGAACAGGATTGCGTACATAATATCTAGGAATTACGGATCGTGTCAGCTCAAAAGTACCACCGCTAATAATAACGCGCTTGGTCACCGATACCGATTTTTAGCCGGCTCCCAGTGTTGTGCAACTCGCGATGACAATCGGGCGCTATCGGCATCGGCTGTCGCACATCTCTAGCGAATAAAAAAGTTTGTGTGTTGTGTTAACAATTTTCACTTGATTCACAATATTTCATGGATTTCTAGTGGCAAATAGCTTATCAGACTTAAGCCTGGGGAACATTAAACGTGCAGAGTGATAAACGCAAGCCGAAAACCCTCCCAGAGAAGAATATTCGCCAAAAAAGTCCACAACAACGCTCATATAGCTACCCGTGCGTGTGTGTGTGCGCGTTGTGTGAAGGTTTTTTTTTTGTTTATTTGGCAAATTCGCTGGCCTACGTGATTAAAATAAGCGCAAGCGAACTAACAGTGAAATGTTGGCTAAAGCGAGCCGCGTGCCGTAATTCGCATTGATAATTGATAGCCGTAATCTACGAGTGCGAGGGTGTTAGTGTGGGGGGCGAAGGTGGGGCAAAAACGAGCGGAGAGAGCAGTCAAGGTTAAAGTCGGTCGTCCCCCTCGGCTCTCCTCGCCTTTCTCCACAAAATGCAATGAGCAGGGGTCGAGGTAAGGTCAGGGAGTCAGCTAGCGATTCCTATTCCGGATCAAAATCGGCCATGGACCAGCCGCGCTGCTCCACTTGCGGCACCCAACAGAATCTGCTGCGCTGCGCCAAGTGCAAGGCCGTCTACTACTGCTCCCCCGCCCACCAGCATCTCGATTGGCCCGACCACCGCACCGCTTGCCGCCTCCTGACCCGCCAAAAGGTCAACAGCAGCAGCAACAACAACAAGCAGCAGCAGCGGCAGCAGATCCAGCAGCTGCAACAAGCGGTGGCCTCCGCCAATCTGGAGAGCAGTGGCGCCGGCGCCAACTGCTCCACCGCCCAGATGATGACGCCCGCCCACCAGGCGCAGAGTTGGCCCGCCGAGGTGGACAACCTGCTGAATCTCCTCGGGCAGCCGGGTAGCCAGGAAAAGGCGGCCTCAGCGGAAGCGGAAGTGGGTCGCAGGCAACAGCAACACTCCCATCATCATCATCATGGGGAAAAAAGCTCTAGCTATCAGATCGGACTTGCAGATGCCAGTTTCATGGGATCAGGAAGGTAAGCCTTGGGATAAAAGAAAATAATTACAACTATTTGGACCCAGAAATATCTGTTTAGGAAATGATTTGTGCATATGAAATTCCCATTGTTGGCTGAAATTCAAAGTAACATCATAATCATGTTCTTGGTTATTCTAAATGAATCCAGGAAAAGCAATTTTCATTCACGGTTGCCACTTCAAAAAATTTGTATGAGCCAAAAAAAGATTAAAAATGAGCCAATTTGAATAAAAAAGAGCAAAATTTTTATCATATACCAAATTACCATTCCAGCGGAACTATTTAGTTTCGATCTGGCACTTTTGGGTTTCAGACATTAATCAGTTTTAAAATTGCAAAAAAAACTGCAATAATAAAAAATGTATTCGCATTTTTCAAGCTTAAAATATTTGTTATCGCTATTAGCAAAAAAGAGCCAAATTCAATAAAAATAGGCCAAAGAGCCAACGCGAAAAAAGCCAAAAGAGCCAAATCTGGCAACCGTGTTTTCATTGTATATTTCTATTAAATTAATTATTGGGTTTGAAACATACACTTTTAAAAATTCAAATTTGCAACACGAGTTATCTCGAAAAAATCGGGCCTCGAGCTGATTTTCAATTAAATCCAAACAATATTTTCCAATTAATATCAAAGGAGTTGCTACCAATTGACTGCTGCACAATACAAAATTAGATCAACAGGAAATATAGGTGGGTTAACAAATAATTTGGAAGAAGCACCACAAAAACATAAAGCTCTTTTCGGGGACGGTATCAGATAATTTCGGCCAGCTTGACCAGATCGAGTAGCGAGTGCGATGGGTTCTCCGTTCGCGGCGGTTCCATGCCCCCCACTGCATCCAAAGGCATTTCCCGCTGGGTCGTGTTGTGGTCCCTATAAGCCCGGCATTTTTCCAGCACCCGCTCGAACTCCGTCACAGACAAATCCTGACCCTGGGAGGAACCCGGTCTTTCCAAATCCACAATGGAAGTTTCCCATTCGGGTCGCTTAGGTTTCTGGCCATCAGTGGTTACTGTGCCACCTTCGTCGGCTGCATAAATCGTAGCCACTGCCGCTCCAGCTCCTTCAAGCATGGCCAAAACGAGGCAGCCCACAAAGGCACTGTTGGCCATGGCCCGAATGCCATTGCGTGCTGCCAAAATGCCGCCAGTGGCCGCTCCACTGACAATCGAGTTCCAGGAGTCTTCCGTCTGGCGATACGAGATCATGATGCAGTCCACCGTACTAAAGGTGGCGCCCCAGATGGCAAAGCTACCGGCGATGGCCGGAGTCCGCAGCTTGACTGACTCGAAGCCGCCATAGAGGCCTCGCCGTAAACCCGCCGGAGCGTTGCGCAAACCCTTCAGATACTGAAACATGGATCCTCCTATTGTGCCCATCATAAAGGCGCACCCGCAATCCTCAACAATCCTGATGGGACAAGGCTGGCGATTGTACTCCATTATCAACCCTAGGATCTGTTGATAGTCTGTCCTTTAATAAAAATCTTGGTTTTTAGTCACTTTTTCTCACTCTCTATGGGCGTTACTTGAGTTTCAATAGTCTGGCTCTTAATCGAAAACGTATGTTTAGGAAGTATACATAATTTCAAGAAAGTTGCCGTATGACTTTTGGGTCCGTTCTAACTAGATATAATGCTTTGATCGATGGGGTAAGCAGATATGGAAAGTAAAGCCTTTTCATAATCAAAATTTTGGATGCGGGGAAAAAAATAATGTTGGCTAACGCTAGAAAATATGAACATTTATTTGTGCCAGAAATAAAACTATCATTAAATCATTTCCTAAAAGACAAAGGTAATATATAACTTGTTACTATGTTTTGCTTGCAGTTTATCTTGTATTTGATCAGCCATGATCTCACCTGATAACTAGTTATTAAATGTGACTGATCCAAGCACCTCGATTAGAAAAGCAACCGTGCACTTGAAATTGCGTTTGCAATTGGTAAAAAAAAAGAAATGTCTTCGCGAAATGAAAAGTATAGACCAAGATTAGGCCCCAACATGTGCATTCTCATCGTCGTAGGCCCCGTCCCGCCCCTCAGCGATCTTCACTTGCATATCAAGTCAATTACAGATAAGGGGTTACGTGCCCACTCCTGAGAAACGGCACGAAAGAAAACTAAATATGACAACGTTGATGACAAATAATCCATAGAAGTTTATGGTACTTTTGATCTTGAAACTTACCAGCAATTAATTATGTTGTTCTCAAAATCGCACACGTGTAGATTACGTGTAGGTACATTTAATTTAATTATCAGCTAATAAAACTAACATTTTCAAATTAATTAATTTTTTGAATTTAATGGACCTTTTCGGTAAGAACAAGTTAAGTCTAGTTTGGTAAAAAAGTTGCTTTTAAATATAGAACCTATTCTACCTTTAAAGCATTAAGAAATTGACTAATTTGTAAGCTTCACTAAGCTAACAGAAGAGGAGATAATTTTTTTCAGTTCATATATAGAAATATTTTTTAAAATCTTGTAAATGCCTTGTAAGGCAATCAGAAATTAAACTTACTTGCGCTACACATATCACTTGTTTTATACTTATAAATATTGCATACTTATTTAGACGCAAAGTCCTGTAAGTGTGAATTTGGGAAAAAAAGACTAAACTTTTGTTTTTTATTTTGAATAGGTCTGTTTTGGCAGTGAATTTAGTTAGTTTCCTTTGGGTAATATATGTATGTCTTAATGTCCGATGAGAGATGCGAAGAAAATGAGCGTTTGATTGTATCCGAATTGTTCAACTTCGCGAGATGAAACCTCTCAAGTCGAGTATTCGGCATTACGTGCCCGGCAGTTTAGTGCATATGGCGGCCGACACCATAGCCGATCTGATAGCACCTGCAGTCGCATTTTTCCGGGCGGAGGGTGCTGACTTTGTAATTATTCTGTTGCGCAGTTCGTTGCGTCCGAATCTTTGATACTCGCTTATTTATTTATTTTTGCTTTACACCCCGGCATTAACAGATACAACAAACATGCACCGCACTCATCGGAAAAAATATAGAAATTCTTTCGCAATCGAAAGAAATACGGATGAATCATCAATACCAAACTGTTAAATAAAATATATATATTTATCTTTTCTTAAATTAAATATTCACAGAAAAAATATTTCAATTAATTTTATAGAATATCGGTCTTAAAATAATAAAAATAGGCAGTCGAGTACCTCGCTTAAAGAGTTTTTATTTGTTTTGTTTGGCCATAAACAAGTTCTTTCTGTTAGGCTTACTATTGTAAGCAAATTTTGTCAACTAGTGTATGCCTCCTCTTTTTCGAGCTTATCGCCCGGAGTGGGTGGTCCGTTCAGCTGGGTGGTCCCAAGCGTTTTGCCTACGTGCCGGGAATATGCAAGCGTATCGTTTAAATCGTGCTATCAGAATTACCATTTGCCTTAGCTCTGAGATTTCAATCTGCCGCGGGATGTGTTGTTCTTTATCAAACAATTAGTTGTCAGTCCAACGTGATCTCATTTTCAGGGGTTCGCCAAATTCCGACATTGTTTATAAATGTGCTAAATTTGCTGGTGTGCCTGTCAAGCAACTCTCCGGGAAAAATAAACAAAGTGGTTAGTTGCGCAAAACTCGATAAACAACGATCGCCGAAAACCGCATTCATCCGCCGCCGACTGTTAATGTCACATATTTGATAAGAAAGGTCAATATCCGTTTTCCCGGTCAATTTTATTAAATTGTTGCCTTTGGACTTATTAATAAGGTTAAAGATAAAATAAGGGTGGATTCTTACTAAAGCTTGGTCACGTATTTCTAGAATCTATAGATTGTCTGTTATATTTTTATACCCTTGCAGAGGGTATTATAATTTCAGCCAAAAGTTTGCATCGCAGTGAAGGAGACGTTTCCGACCACATAAAGTATATATACTCTTGATCAGCACCAATAGCCAAGTCCATCTAGCCATGTCCGTCTGTCCTATGCTAACTAATCTCTCAGTTTTAAAGCTATCGCGATGAAACTTTTCCAAAGGTCTTCTTTCCATTGCAGGTGGTACATATGACGGAACGACATCAGACCACTGTATCTTATGGCTTCCATAGGAAGTAGGTGTTTTGATTTTTGACATTTTAAAAAGAGCATTTAAACCACCTGCAAGGGTATATATACTTCGGATGTCCGACACACCATAAAAACTAATTAAGGTCTAGGCTATAGAGTTATTAATATCATAATAATTTATTTATATTAGAAATGATTCTTGTAACATACATATGTACATTAGGGTGGACTTATTTTGTATGAAATTTCTAAGGCTATGCTCTCACCCCTTCATATATAGCCTTTTTGTATCCTTAATCCATTAAAGAAAGAAAAAGTAAAAAATAATTTGTTTTAGGCGGTGCGCAACGGCTTTAAAGTTTATTACGCATATTTCAGATTCATCTAGATGCCGTATACCTTATTTTATACTTTGACAGTATTTTAAAAAGTATCTTAATCACTTTCCCGAGCTTTTTAACAAGGGATGAAGTTGTTGATAAAATTCAAGTCCCTGGGAGACAATTACAACTTAAAAATAACAATAATAACGAATAATCAAGGACTTTTAGAGTACAACTTATAAATATTACGGTCTCTGAAAAATAAGAGTCAATATCGTTGTATCCTAAGCCAGCATTTCTTCGACGAAAATTTTTATTGGCGAACGCAAAAGTGATAGTTAATCTTCAAAATTGTAAAATAGAATCTCTATTTTATTGTGAGTCACAAAAAAAAAATGGTGAGTCGGGGATCGAACTCGGTCCTTTTTGTTCGAAGACAGAAGCTCTACTGGCTAGACTACGCCCAACTGTTAATATTCATGAAATAAATTTCTACTTGACTCTTTCATTCGAGCGAAACCAAAAAGTTAACATGTTAAAATCTGACAAGAAATGGAATGGGGTAAATTCCTAGTTTTACACTTAATTTTTAGCGAAACTTTAGGTCCATTGCGCACCGCCTAAACGATGAAATAAAATTTTTCTGTTTTCGCATAAATTTATTGGACACAGAAACCTACCATTTAAGATGCTGAGCTCAGTTGACCTTAAAGAAGTCCACCCTAATGAGCACCTATGATATAAATAAAAAATGCTTTATAAATAAAGTGAAGAAATTCACAATTTTGTAGCAAATTGTACATACATGTACATTCAATAGAGATGGTTCAAAGTTATTCTATTCTTTATTGTCTTTTTTCCTATCTATCATTCTATACAAACATCATTAATAGACTTAGTTTTATTAATGGACCTGTAGTACTATCTACGGATAGATCTCGAACCTAAAATGAAGCAAAGCAAAGTACGTAGGCAGACGCACGTCATCAAGGTCGTCTACCGCTCCGTGCGTGTACGCCTGTCGCGCCCCCTCACAAGCTAGTTCTCCACCCACCAAAAGGGCTGAGGGCTGCGTGTGGTACACGTGCCGCAGTCGCCGTCGTCGCACGTAATACATCACAGGCGAAGGGCTCCAATCGATCATTACAATGTACACAGAAACATGTTTACACTGTAAGAATTCATTGAATTTATCTTGCGGATGATTGGCACCGAAAAAGTTTCTCAATTTCTATAAAGAATATAAAGAATTTAATCCTATTCGTAATAAGCGATAGTATTTAGTTGGACAGTTATATTTTTAGTTCGTAATAATCCTTAATCTTCCTTAGTATTTCTTAATATTAGACATATGACTCAGTACCTTTGTAAAGTCATTCTAATTTAAAAACCAAGTCCATTGAAGCCTACTAGTTGGTTGGTTAGACTAATAGTCATAGATTTCTGAGATTCGTTTAAATGACTGATGTAGTTTGAGAAGCCTTCCTCCTTTTTCTCCAAGTGTATTCGATTTGGCTCCGACTTTGAACTGGGCCGTTGACCCAGTTCTGTTGTCCGTACATTCGCATAGCTTCCGCGTGTTTCCGACGTTCTGTAGCTCATCTTTGGGTTTATTTTGAAAGCATTTTTACCAGATATTTGTATCAAACAAATTTAAATATCTGTCTCTGACCCCCTCGCTCTCCCTTCGCTGGCGACCGTCTCTTTCTGACTCACTTGGCTATCGCATTAAGGCCTGTGCGTGCGGCTTTTGGACGCCTGTGTGGGTACGCTCGCATGTGCGTGTGCCGAAGTGTGTCTCGGTGTGTGTGCTGGGCTACGTGACGATTGTTGCGCTTGTCTTTTCTGCCTTCTCGTTTGCTTTTCCCTGCTTTTCCGATTGCATTTGTTTTGTGTTTGCAGAGTGATTTTTGACTCACTTGAAGGGCAAGCGGAACGAGAACCTTCTGCCCACTTCCCTGGAACTTGGCGAATTTGGTCTGATCCCCTTAATTTGCACGTCCAGCGCGGCTTGTCGTTATCTGCAGCTGCCTTTTACCTATATATTTGCCTTATTTAATTGTTTGCTCACACTTACCAAGGTGCTGCTTATCGCCTTAAGCGGCTGCTTCTTCTTTTTTAGCCGCTTCCCAGGCCCCCAATTTTCTCATTCACTCGTATTATCACGGCCGCTTTGAAATAGTGGTGGCACATTTTAAGCGAGAGAGAGAAAATAGCTAGAATTACAAAAATCCATTTTGGTTCTCATAGCTACTAAAAATCTCAAAACCATAAAA